ATGAGATTTAGATCATAGGATTCTCCAATAACAATGTCTTCCAATATTTTAATGTGTTTAGAAGAAAATGCTAAAGGAAGAACATTATCTTTAGCTGCACTTTTTCAATACACCACATTGAATAAATCACTTCAGTTTGAGATTCAAATATTGAATTTATGTATTATTTGAAAACTTCAAATTTTTTATGATAAACTAGTTAAGAGATTGGACTTATATTGTTACCAAGGAGCAAGGAACTCACCTTTATTAAAATATTTTTATCAATAAAAATGATGAAAACATAAATATTCAACCTGATAAATGAATAACTTATCATATAAATAAAAAGACAAGGCACAGACGCCTTACTTTTATTCAATTGATAAATATTATTAAAATTAAAGTCCTTAATTGATAAATTTTAAAATTGAAATCCTAAACTAATTTCATACTAAAATTGAAGTCCTTCTACTACACTTTTTCTTTATTTCTTATGGTGGAATGTTTACTTTTTGGCTGGTTTCACAAGTGTTCCAAAATTTATTTAATAATGAAGAAATTAAAAGGTGCGAAAATCTATACAATAACTAACGAAAAATAGAATCACCCCAAGAGAGAGAGAGAGAGAGAGAGAGAGAGAGAGAGATAGGAGAAAATAGCAATGTTTTATGAATCATTCCATGTTGGGCCGCTATTGATAAACAAGTCAAGGCCTGTGATTTCCCAACTTGGGCCCGGTTTATTTTATTGAATCTAATTACTCCAAAGTCCAAACTAGGTCTTTTTGTTTTTTATATTTTGGGTCAGCACCCAAACTAGTTCCATATGTTACTAATGAAATCAAACTTTGGTGTCAAACCCAATACCAAAGTTGTGTGGCCACGTATCAAGTAAGTCTTCGTGGGGCCATGTTTTGTTTTCTTTTAGGGCCTGTTTGGTAGGAGTATTTTTTTTGGAATTCTGTAAAAGTTTGGTTGGGATTGTAACTTTTCTATGTTTGGTAGAGGAAATCAAAAATCTTTCCCATGATTCCAGCTTTTCTGGCATTTTGGCTGTAGTGCAAATTACACCCTCAAATACCATGAACAAATACCACAAATTATGTGGTATTTGAGGAATCCAGTTTCTTGGAGAAATTTTACAAAAAGAATTGGTCCTTTTTACCCTTGCTACATCGTACCCTATTAAAGTAGTAACTCGCTATCTCCCTTTTGGTTAGTGAAGGAAAAACAATGGAAAGATAATTCTAGAAGTTTTTGTCAATGGATGCTGGATTATTGAAAACAACCTCGTGGAATAGTTGTTCACCCTTGAACTCCATTTTTCTACCATTTGTTCTCCCATGTCAGCGAACTCCAATTCGGTGAATTTCTCGGGCCCAAAGGATTTTATAAATTTTTCTCTTTCGATGGATGCTTGATGATTAGATCCAACAGATACAAGTTTGCGAGGAGAGTGTTCAAGTTTTCGGTGGTTCAGATCAGAGATCTTCAACTGTGTTACTGGTGGCCCAAGCAGAGAGGGAGGGGAGAATGAACAATGGCTGGAAAAAAAAACGTTATAAACAAAATTAATTACAAGGGCTAGTTTCGTAAATTCATCATATATTTCCAATAATATTTTACCATCTACCAAACATAGACTCAGAAAATTTAAGCTAATATTCCTGGTAATATTTTGGTCTACCAAACAACTTTTTATTAACATTTTCGGAAAACTCACTTTCTCATTGTATTTCCGAAAATCGTAATTTCTGGATAAATTTTTTTTATCATCTACCAAACGCCCCGTTAGGTCTTAATGTTTAGTAGACATATTAATGTAGTTTGAGCGTGAGTAAACAATTACTCTACCCCCAATCTGCGAATAAATCTTTGGTGCTACTGTTACATCATCAAAGATTCAACGCATTTTATCAATGGAAATATTATATGTCAGTCAAAATTTTCTCTCTCTCCTCTGATGTATAATACTCTCATTAATGGAATGCACTGAATCTAGGTGCAACAGATATACCTAAAATTTATTCCTAATCCGCGACGAAAAAGGAATGATGAAAATGAGTAAACAAGTGGGTGCTTAGTTTTTTTTTTCTTTTATATCTTTAGTTATTATTTTTTCAGTAATAACTATAAAAATATCATGTTATTTTTATTTTTTTTCTATTTTTTTAGATTTTTTTACGACAATAATATAAACAAGGTTTTGTTTATTTCATTGTTTTTTCAATAAAATTTTGAAAGTAAAATATAACATAAAATAAAGTAATGTTTTTGTGTCTACCAAAAAAAAAGAGTAATGTTTTTGTAATTAATGATAAAAATATATCAACTAAAAAAAAAAGCCAGAACTTGTGTTCTATTTCCTTTTTCTTTCCTTTCAACACTTGTCTTATTAAGGATACTTTACAAAAAAAAAAAAATAGACATGACGAGATGATATGTGACAATCAAAATGCAATTCATCTTGCGAAGAATTCGACTTATCACTCCTGCACTAAACATATTGATGTGAAGTATCACTGAATCTGAGATGCGGTGGAAGATAAAGATCTCAAACTAGTCAAAGTGCACACCGACCTAAATTGGTCCGACATGATGAACAAGCCGGTACTAGCAAAGAAATTTGAAGAATGTTGTGAAAGTGTCGAGTTGCTGCTGATGCCAACACATTGAAGTCGGAAGGGGGAGATTTGTTGAGTTTTTCCTCCTTAATGTTGCACAAGGCCTAATGTTGGTGAGTGGGGCTCAAGAAATCATAATCCACACTTTTAATATTCTAAAATTTTTCCTCCTCTCCTATATAAGCTTGTGTTATATGAGAGGTTGAGTGTTAGACCTCATTAGGATAGTTTGAGAGAATACCACTGTTGTAAATGAAGTTTGAGTGTACCACCATTATTTGTGAAGTTTGATATCTTGTACCCATTATTTTCATAGTGGAAGTTTGGTTCTAAACTAATGTCTCGTGAGTTTTTACTTCTACATATTAGAGAAGATTTTCTCACGTCAAAATCTGTCTATGTTCATCTTTCTCTCTCTTTTCCCCTTTCTATATTTCCGTTTCTGCTGCGTATAGGCCGACCTGGTTAGTTTAGACTGACCTCTCTGATAGCTGAGCTCGACGTTTGACTTCTACAAATGCTTCTTAGCTGAGATTGAGGGACCGAGTTCGTCCCAACATTATTTACATTACACCATAGGATAACAAGATTAGAAAATTATTTAATAAAAGACCAAAAATAGATATTGATAATCTAGTAGAAGAATTTGATAAAAAATTAAAACCTTTTACTACTGGATACTTCTTCCATACTAGGGAAAGTGAAATCTAAATTTTTAAAATCTATTTCTTCATCACTAATCTAAGATTCTTGTTCTTTTTCATTTTGTTCTCTAAAATTATTTAATAATTCTATTTCTCCTTGTGTAAGTATTTTATATTTTAATTCATATTCTTGTTTTGTTATATCCTTTTCTCTAAACTTATTATTCTTATCCTGATAAATTACTTGTTCTACTTCAATTATTCTTTGTCTAACTAATTTTTCTTCTATATTTTCTAATTCTTTGATAAATTAGGATACCGTGAAAATATTATTTTATCTTCTATCACTTCTTCATTTTCAATTTCTTTTCCTAGCATTTTATTTCTTTCTTGTAATTTTTTTTTGTTTTTGTTGTTCAATTTTATGTCTATATTTATTTGTATAATATTTCAGTAGATATTTTATTTTTAGTATCACCTTCTCTACTTATTCCTTGTTTATAGTCTAAAAATCTTACATAAGTATCTCCTCTATTATCATTATAAAACACTCCATTTTCTGGAATTAATATATTATCATTTTCTTTATCTTCAAAAATTTTACTAATATTCCATTCTAATCCTGATAATTCTTGAGAAGGAATTTCTTTAGGTTTTATCATTTTTTATATGTTTACTTAATATATATTCTATCACATCATTTATATTTATTTTGTAATTTATACTAATATTTTGCATTGTTCTTCCTATAAATCCTATAGTGATTACTAAATTACTTCCATCTCTAAATTCTTCAAATCCTTTTGTTCGTATACCTATCTCAATATTCTTACAAAAATCTTCTATTAATAAAGTCATATTAGGAGTGCAAAAAATAAACCAGTCATATTAGAAGTGCAATAAAATAAACCTACATCATTATTTAAAGCTACTTCTGATTATGAAATTAAAGCTCTATTTATATCTCTTCCCCATCTTTTATCAAAAAGAGTTACTAATACTTTACATACTGTTTTACTTCTTACTCATCATTTTACACCAATAATAAATAATCTTGTTTGTATGTATTTTTTATGTGACTTTTATAACTGTTATTTTGCCTTTTTACTCATACAATCTAAAATAACTACTTGATCTCCTACACATGATACTTGTTCTTCACAATAATTTCTGAATAAACATGTATTCATAGTAAATCTTTCTACTTCACATAATCTCTTGGGTTCTAATATTTTTAATGTAGATTCTCTAAATTGTTCTATATTTTTATCTATGTCAATTTCTTCTTCTAACTTAATTTTATCTTTATTTTTAGGAATGAATATTTCTAAAGGTGATGATATAAGGCTAATTGCTTTTTCTTGGTTCATCTCCAATAGTCCTACTACTGAGAAAGGTATATTGTTCATTTTTTATAGACTAAAAAACTATCTTTGCATCGAGTCAACTCGATGATATCTTCTGGAGTAGAGTGGATAGCGTTATTCTTTTTTTTCTTCCCCCTTAGAAACATGATGGCGTTATTCTTAGCCGCCGTATATTCCACTTTCATAACAATTAGTAACATGTAAAACAATAACGCATACAACAGATGTTGAAATAACAATTTCACAATCACCAACTAGGAACTGTCATTGCCACTAAATTTGATCGGCATAACAAGCAAATGATGAAAGAAGATATTGAGAGAAAATAAGGAATTTCTTTGAACTTTATTCAAGTAGTTTTAGGTACAAGGTACCAATTGCTACAAAAAGAATGAATTAACATCAAAAGGGGAAGCAGCTGATAGCAATTAATGAGAAAACAATGGAGAGACCCACGTTCCTCACAAGACCTAAACGACTTATCAGAAGAAAACAAATTTACATAAAAATAAGAGTCACTAAAACCAATTTCTAAGTCCTAGCTTTGCAGGTCAGGTTCACCCGCCAAAGTTGGAAAAACCCCTCGGCCCGAGAACCCAAACGATCACCACCCGTGCAGATTACCCAAATGTTGGGCCTGCACAAAGAATGTAAATTCTTATCCTATTCGGTTAATATCTCGCCGCTGCTTCCTGAATCAATCATTTGGATTTTCTCTGTCTAGTTAGAAAGCCCATTAGCTAAATGAAGTTAGCGAAGTCAGATTCTAGATGGCGTTCCGCAATCATTTTGAGTGAGGCAACTTGAAACTTCAATTCAATCTGCTGCTGCTCTCCAAGCCCAAAAACGATGGGCCTCGGACTTTAAGGCGCTTCCGCCCAATCTCAAAGGAAGGTTGTTCCCTAAAAGTTTGATGCATCCTATCTCTCCTGTGGTGATCTCGTTGCCTGCTCATTTCCTCGTTGCCTAACTTCTTGTATCTTACAGAAATGGGAATGCCATTACCCCTTGCAAATCTGTCCCTCGAGGAAATTTCGCCACCAATTTTACGATTAACATGATGACTGTATTTGTAACTTGATCCGTTGGTTCTGCTGAAATCCATTGGCTGCCCACTTTTTTCTTCAGGATGGACTTTCTTCAATCGTTGAAGTCCCTGCTCATATAGATTACAATATGTCATCATGGTCCATGCATAAGTATAGCAAAATTTGATAGTCAATTTACGAAGATGGAAAATATTGGAAATTTAGGAAAAAAATCTCTAGACAGCAGACATATATGATGAACCTATTAAACCATTGACGAATCATCTGACATACCTGCTGCTCCGAATGCTTGGAAGACATAGCATTCAAATTTCTCCTCTCTGCTTTCAGAGAAGAAGGGCGCTTTACCCTAAACATCTCTGATTCAGAATCATCACTCTCGCTATCCACAATGGGCTTCGTGTCAAATTTATGAAGATCACCCTGCGGTTTAGCCGAGCTTTCGTGATACAGAGCAGGGGATAGTGAAGATTCACAAACACTATGCGATGTTCTTTCACCAAACTCTTCAAAATCAATAATGCCTAAATTGAAGTTGGTATTCCCCTCGGCCTGCTAGCAGAATAAAAGAATAAACGGAGAGGGCTTTAGTTCACTAATCAACAATAGTTGTTCAGATCCCAATGCAATAATATGTAATGACAATATTCTAAAACCATATTCATCGGACTCACATTTTTGGAAGAAGTGGAGCTCTCAAGAGGTTCTGAAAGAGAACAAAGAGTGGATGCAGCAGAAAAGGAAACCTCAGACACTTCTGGTTTATAATTTTCAGAGCAATGCCTGAAAACGAATTGACTTTGTGTACCACACTCTTGATTATTTGCTGATAGCACTGGAGTTGTATAAAATTCAATAACAGAATCAAGTTTTAGCTCACAGTAAGGTGAGTATCCATTTGCTTCAGCTCTCTGAAACATATTTGGCAAAGGATAAGAATACATGTTTTGGTCACTTTTTGTTTGCTTGCGTATCTCATCCAATATCCCATCTTCCTGTTCAAACATCTTTGCTGCAGCTTCCATATCCGTAATATCCTCCCTTAAATAAAGAGTGTGTTTGCTCCCACATATGAGGTCAAGAGACTCAATATCTGACTTGTCACAATTTAAAGAGATTAAATATGAGAATATTGTATCATCAAACATGCAATAAAGATAATAAATCAAGTGAAAAATTCATTGTTGACCGCAAATTTATACTATGGTCGAGAATCAAGATAATGCTTTTCTCATTAGTATGCCACAGGATAATTTAGAAGCAATTGGCTATTGATGTGATAACCACATATATGGTAAAAAGTAGTATTATGCATAGCATGGGATCAAACAAGCATGAGGCAACTAACCAAATTCAAGCTCAAAATGACACATTATAGCATTGAGGAAAACTTACCATGGCGTAGGCATACAGGATGACTGTGACAATTGCAGTCAACATATGCTATATAACAGTCACGTTTGCAGAGGCTACAGAGAATCGTGCCATGGGAATGAGAAGAGATACTTATACATGCTGCAGATTTCATAAGGATCCATCGAGCACAATGCTGGAAACGCATCAAATTAACAAAAGAAATCTTAATGCTATTATGAGAAAACAAGTCTGAAGAGGGAAAGTCTGAATCTTCAAGTTCCAAGCATGTATGAAGAAACATTGCTTCTTTGCATAGAAGTTCTTCATGGGGCAGCAAAGGAACCCTGTTAAGAAGTGCATATCTCCGGCTAGCAATAGCCCCTAAAGGAAACCAATCACCAATTGCAAAATTCACTGCTTCTCCACAGTTGAAACCTAGAATTTTAATGAAGATATGCAACATTAATTTATTTATTTCACATGGTTGGGAGCATGAAGTGAGATATTATTCCTGGAACTAAATTATTGAAATGAGCTATCTAACCATGACTGAAGCCAGCATGATATGCTCTAGGGAAGGTTATTATAAACTCCCCGGGCTTTTGAACAGCCTTGTAGACAGGGACTTCATGCTCCAACAAAATATTTGGAGGAAATAGTGTTGTTTTCCCCAGTAGAACATCAAAGGCTCCATCTTCCCCATCACTTGACAAAATATCATTTGTATACACGTGTTCTCTTACAACTCTTTCAAAATCCAAAGCTGCATGACCTGGAATACCGTACCATGTTTTGGATGCCCCACAGTGATGATAGTTAATGCTGTCATAACAATATAATATCTTAATATCATTAAATAAACAACTAAAGAAGGAACTCTCTTCTTGGGAGAATGTCATCCAGTATTTTATTGAAAATATGTAGAGCATTTACCTGTACAAGTAATGATCCTCCACGTGCCATGCAAACATACTAAACAGCATTCCAATGTATAGCATGGGTTCCGTTACTCCCTGAAATAAAACCCAATAAAAGTCATGTGGAATAGTATAGTACAAAAAATGACTTTTGACCAACGTATGAAATTGCCATACCGGAATTGATGTTTCCAAGAGCCGTAAAATTGATTTGGACAACCGCGAAAGTTTCTAAGATCATAGAAAAGGAGGTGTTCAGTAAGTTAACTAGGATACCAAACAAAAAGCAAGAACCATATTTTTGTTAAAATAATTTCCTCTTCAACAAATAAAGAAACTAGTAAAATTAACACCTTTAAATTCCATTTGCTATTCCCAAGCTGATCAGCGGGAGAAGATGAAAAGGCACTGCCATCAACATCACATGCATATTCAACAGTTTCCATCTTCCCACAGCCAATTTCATGCCAAAACTCTTTTTCCAAGTATGTGGCAGGAAGACTTCCAGTGCTGCAATATCTTCTGGCAAAAATCTTGTTTGCCATTTTCTCATAATCACGAAAAGTATAGGTTCTGATTGAATTACAAATGCATTACTCAGCAAAAGTAATAATATAATTGACATTACAAATATTAACATACAGTGTGGGGAAACTGACCTTCCACTCATAAAAAACGTGACTTTGTCTTCAGTATCCCATTCAGCAAGGCGAAGGGGCTGCACCCTCGTTGTAAACTTGAATCCTGCTTTCTCCTTCATTAGAACAACCCCAGCAGGTACAGAAGCACTCAAAGGCGAAACAATCTTGCATATACCTGGAATTTATTAGCAATTCCAATGGAAAACAGTTAGGTCACAATTCTGTCACTCTATTGGTTTCATCTTCATCTACTACTCTCACAAAAAAGAAGGCAAGATATATACCATGAAAGGAGGCAACTTTCATGTCATTAAGTTGTATTATCAACTTCTACTTTCAAATTCCAAATTATGAATATAATCCTCTCATTAATACACCAAAAATTTATGAAAAAATGGAGTGAAGAAAACCTTGGAAAATGAAAACAATTATTGAGTATTGACACCAGGGAAGGAAGGAGACAAGACAGGGAGGAAAATCATTTTAGCTAGCATCTTGTCTTCACACCATGTCCGTAAGTTACTCTGACTTTTTGTTTTATTTTTTTTTGGAGTATTTAAAAAAATAGTGTGTTTTTAAAGCTACAAAATAAATGATCATCCTCGTTTCAACTGCCCACTAACTACAATTTGTATATAGGCCAAAAGCACATCATCATAGACCACAATTGAATTTCCTAAAAAGCAAGGCAGTCAAAATTGAGATACAACCGGATACAAAATTATATGTCTGAGTGTGCACGTGCGCAATATAAAATAAGAAAAATAACCTTTAAGATATTACTAAAACTTAATTAAACGTAAATTGAAAATGCAGTGCAGCACCAGAAGCCTGAAATGAGATGGTTAGCATATGTTTCTTCAAGATTGGCTGCGAGATCCCTGAATGGGCTTAGGGCTCGAGTGGACTTTCGGGTTATTGGTTCAAAATGAACCTTTTGCCAGCTTGGTGGGATCGGGACCCTACAAACAAGCTTGACAATCCCACAAGACCACATCAGATTGTGTTCTTGACTGTACTCGGGATCATTGATAGGGGAAAAACTCACAGGATCATGCAACCTTAAGAGTAAAGTCGCAATTTTAACCACCTTCGTAAAAAGGACAGTTGCTTTAATGAAATTAACTTAATTAAAGGATATAACTTTATGAACATATGGGTATGGCAGTTTGCAGAATACTTTATCCTCGTCATTTAATGATTTGTTTTACGAACAATCAACAACCTCCCAATACACCCAAAAGCTGGATTTAAGAAGTGACACAAATATCAGAATGCCTAGTCTTGACTCTTGAGCATCTTTCAATGCCCTAGTTTACTAACTTAACAATATAACATCAATGCAAAATACTAAAGTGAGCACACAGTAGGAGAAATAAAAGATCCAACAGACCAAAATCCATACCATATTTAGAAGCTTCTGGGGCTATCTTTTGCAAATAAACCAAAGGATCCTCGAATTCCTCCTTTGTTGGAGAATAAACAGGACACTCAGGAATTTTATCAGTCCATTTCAGATCACTTGTGTCAAACTTATCTACCTTCCGCTTGGAAAAGGCATCTGCGTTACCATGCAATCTCATGCCACATGATGCCGAAGCTCTTAAAGCATCTCCTCCACTTCTGTTCATCATGTTTGCAATACTTGTCTCTGCAGCAGCGATGGATTTTGCTCGATCAAGCCTTTTACGCTTCAAAAATTCTAACCCATCCCTAGCTTCCTTCGATAAACACACTCTTCTTTCCACCTGTTACATTTTTCTTAATTACACACTCAAATTGGCAGGTAATTAGATGTAAAAATAAAGTTAAATGCACAAAAGAAAACAAATTTATGTCACAATAAAGTGAAACTCATAGATGTATAATCAACGATGAACAGACTGAGGCAAATACTTTGTTAGCGTCCCTGGAACTTTGAATTAAGGTGCAAAAAGTCAAGCAAAGCATTGCTCGGTAATTCTTCAAGAAATGAACCAAAGGTGTATCAATGTAAAAGTATCACTTCTGACGCATTAGCTCACTCCAGTTGGAAAAGGATGTAGTTCAACAGGGAGAAAGGAATAAACTTTGAACTCAAAAAAACCAAACACATGATGGGGCAAAAATAAATACAAGCTTCTTTGGCATATTACCATTGAGGGGTAAATAACTAGATTAATAGGAAATTCGTTACGAGGCAACCTAAGTCAAAAAAAAAAAAATTACGAGCTACGTCAAATTTGCAATCTGAGACAAACGTAAATCACTCATTCGAAAAAGTAACCGCTAAGAGGGGCAAAAAACTTAACCGGAATTTAGCACAACGCAACTCAAAAGGGTCAACAAAAATGATATTAGAGGAACATTCAACAAATGCATGCGCTGAAATTTGAAAAGTTTACTCCTCTCAACATCATTATTTTCCACCTTAGAATGACCCAATCAATCAAAAGGTAGTATTAACCGTATAAATTTCACCACACACAAAAGGAAAGAAAAAGATAGGCCCGGAAAAACTATTAATCCTTGATTAAACTAAATTTTCTAAATTCCTATTTTAGAAAGAGGAGGAAAAAGAAAAAGAGAAGAACGGTGTTCCTTTTTTACTATTTTTTTAAAAATAATTCAGAGAAGTGCTATGGTTTATTTATTAGAGGAAAAACATCAGCTCGCAAAATGCACCTCAAGCATCCATCAAGAGCATGAATTGTACCACACTCTGAACTTGAAAGAGAAAAAGGGGAGAAAATAACTTCAAATTAAGCAGTGTTAATCTAAAAAATCATCGTTCAGGCTAACAAAACAATAGAAATCGTATCCAAACCGTAAGAAAGTATAACAATGTCCGAGATCTGAAAGATGAACCAGGGGAAAATACATTTAGCAGAGAGTTTCAAACATTAATGCATCAAAGAACATATATGAAGGTGAGACAGATAATATTTCTCAACATAGCACGATTGACCAACCATTTCATTACGAAGTCGCTCCCTGTAGGCCTCCGTCTTCGTTAACTTGAACAAGGAATCACAAGACCAAATCCAAATCCCAGAGCCAAACCCTAAATCACGATCCTGAAGGTTGCAGATTAAGAGCGAGCCTCGAAAGACAGCCACGCTCGCCACATTCTCGTAGAACGCCGAGTACAAGGCTTATACCGCGCCACAGGGAGATCCAGCAACTGGTAGGAGCAACCACGGCAAATTGCGACAGAATGCAAACGTGTCAATCGGGAGACCGTGACGAGCTTTCTCCGGAGGCACGGAAGAGAGCAGAAGCGGTTTCCCGGCGGACGGGAGAGGTTTTCCGGCGACGGAAGAAACGGAGAGAAATAGTGGATGAGGAAAGAGAATAAGCGAATGCTTAGAAAACCGAAAAAGGGTAAGTAAGGGATAATTTATAGTTTTATACTGCAAAATAATTAACGCTTTATTAGCTCGGAAAACACAAATATAAATGGAGTTTTAATTTTTTTTTCATTTCCTCTCTGTTTAAATTAAAAAAATAATTAAAGTAAAGAAACTTTGAGGAGAAGAGGTGTGGTGGTTGTTAGGTGGTTCAACGAAAACAAAACTTGCCGTCCAAATTCCAAAACGCGTTTCGGGTGTAAACACGGTTTAAGGTTTCTCCGTACGGTGTAATGACGGAATCACCGTTACTGTTAGTAAGATTTATTGGCGGGTACAGAATTGAAGAGCCGGTAATTACTGCACGGGTATGAAGGGTATTTTGGTAACTTAAGGAGGACGGTGTTATCAATGAGGTCTGGCTCCTGTGCCGGTCAGAGATAAAGAAAGTGGCAGGAAAGAAGGAATGATCACGTGCGATAAGACTGGGGTTGATTATATACACAAGTTTGACATCGAACCGTTGATTTTCTTCGTCGTTTACTTAGAACCGTCAAAGTACATGAACTCCATCAAATCAGAAAGCCCCAGAGGCATGTGTACTTTTTCTTTTCAACTGCCGACCTGTACTGGATAACTCTCACCTACCTTCCAGTTAGTTAAGCTTTTGGACACGAAAGGACGATTTTCTCCTTGTTCGGTTTGATCCCGTTGACGCAAGCACGAAGGGTGTTTTTGGGTTTTGGAAGGGTTCGTCACATGCGAAGTGACTTTCGTAATGTAAGTGAACTACCACGATGCGTGACCCAGCGTAATTCCAAAGGACAAGCTGGAGGCAACACGTGGCGTTTTGTTCTGAGCAGGGGATACACGCGGCATGGATAAGGGTATGGTTTCGTGGGTTTTCTGTGTCACTTGGGGTGGTGGCCAGAACGGAATTAGCTGGCGGTTACAACAGGGTTCTCAAGGTGTCCCATCCTATAGCAAAGGGCACGATAGGACCCAGCCATAGCACCCACCTCACGAGACTTCCCTGTGCTGCAAATTGGCTATTTACTTTGGAACTTTCTTATTTATTTCTATAAATTAAAGACATGGATTTGGTAAGGAATATGACTATTGCTTAAATAAATAATAATCAAATAATTAAATAAAAACGAAAACGAAAACATTTATATATTATAAATGTTAAAAAAAGCATTTAATATTTTTAAATAATTAAACATATTCAATATTAGGTATTAAGTATTCTTTACTCGGTGATGCAGTGGCGACTTTTATTGACAAAAAAATTATTTAAAAATATTTACACAGAGAGAGAAAAAAAAAACCACATGTGGTAATGGTTTTACTCACTTTTACGGTTCCGGTGGAATTCTCTCTCCTATTTCTATTGGCTGGTTTGTTTATTTGAGCTTTTTGTTACGCGGAGGTTGGGCTAATGATTAGAATTCCACAGAGTCAGCGAAAACGAAGCTTTGATAATGGTCTATTTGGCGGCTCGGCTTATAAAAAACTTGCTTTTAGTGTAAACCATTTTCTACGGTCCACGACGCGGCTTCTCTGAGCCCGGCTAGGGTTGAATTTTCGTTGGAATTTCGTTGAATTAGTAAAACTAAAGGAAAATTTTTATTTTTATTCTTATTTTTATTTTATGGTATTGCAGAGCATGAAGTGACAAAAACTCCCTTTTTTAAATAATTCAAGTGAGTGGCACGCAATAAATGCGGCAATGGGTATGGGGCACACGAAACTTATCATTATGACTGTCCTGAGGCGAAGCTTCCCTGCTTTGCGTGTAAGCTCAGGTTGTGGATACTCGCTTGTAATACCTGTGTCTGCCTGAAGCATGAAGGGTATTTTGGTAATCCCACAGGGCCAGTTAGGTTTTCGTTGAAGGAGTAAGGGTAAAGATTCTGTTTCTGGAAAGTTCTCTAATTGACCAAAATGCCTGAAGAACAAGGCGAATTCACTTAAATACCTATCGCTTTTTAGAATGCGTACGTTTTGTGCTGTGACTTAAAAAAAAAATATTGACCTTTTCTTTGGGACCACAGCAGAACCAACCAGCCTTTGTCACAACTTACAGGTAAAAAATAAAAAAAATAATAAAAAACATACGGAAGGGTTAATTAATTATTTGAATGGAGTATACGCTAAATAAAGTTGGCAATATATAATAAAATAAAAAGAAGAAAGTAGAGAAAGATGCATTGTAGATTCTGATTTCTGAATTATGAGTAAAATGGTTAATTCAGAGCCGTTGGATTTTGTTTTTGTTTTTGTAATCCACGTGAGGATGGGATCGGAGCAGAGAGGAATTGCAATTGGATAGGAGATAATTGAGGAGAAGCAGGGGAGTTATGATGCCACATTTATCGCGGGTAGCTACAAAAGTGAGGTGAGGTGAGGCAGCTAGAATAGATGATGATGGGTAAGCATCGGAGCCTTTAAGAGGGGAAGTTGGGGAGTGTCTAATTCCAAAGCACCCGCGATTTTGGAAGTTAAATGACCCAAAATAGGGTGAATGACACTTCCGTGGGAGAATTTCAGTCACTTGGTCCAAGTCCCAAGTTGGTCATAAAATAAGACAAGAAAGGCAAATTTAGGAAAAGGATTTTGTATATGAAGCAGACCCCACCCTATTACTTTCCTTTAATTTAGATTACTCCCTTTCTTATCTGAAAGAGTATATTTATATTACCGATTTAAATTAAAAGTACTTGAGCTGAACCTTCATCAATGACATGTTTCCCTAGAGTACATATCCAAATAGATAAAACATGAATGAATAAAATAACGGAATGATTAGGGCAATTAGATTAGAAAATGAACATGTGGCAGCTAGCTAGATCCAAGCATTAATAGGCACATGGATTATTGATCGGGGTTCTTAGGTGTCATGCACTGCATCCATGGTAAAACAAGATTCGTTGACAATCGTTTGAGTTAATCGAGCTAACTTTTTTTATAAAAAGAGGTTAGATACCCCTTTCCATTTTTAAAATATTTTATTATAACTTGATAAAAAAATATTAAATAAAATAATTAAAATAATTAATATCTTAAGAATAGTGTTTACAAATTTGGCTCGGCATCAACTCAGCCGAAGTTAGGGGTTGCGGGTTTAACGGGAGCAGCGGGATCATTTTATTGACCTGATTTTATATATTAAACAAATATAAATATATATTTCATATGAAAAATTCAAAAAAAATCAAATTATCAATCATTCAAAGATTTAAAATATACTTAACATAACTCAACTAATTATATCCACAAGTCAATATTACACAAGTTAATTAAAGTATCAAAATATCAAAGTATAAAATACATATTTCAATGAAGTTAACGAAAAGTATCATCAAACTCAAACCCTCATTGTCAATTTCTCAATTCACTATTATTGCGATACAATTCAAAAGTCTTAGTTAGCATCATTTTTTATCTATTGTTTTCTTGATATGAGAGTAAATACATCAGATTAAGAGAAAGCTTTACATTCTATTTTCTTGAAGCAGAGAAGCCAACCAAAAAAAAGAGTGAATTAGTGAAGAGAAGAACCATCACAGCAGAGAAGAGGTGGCGACGCGGCGAAGAGGGAAGACCAAAGAGGTGGAGTCGCAGAGGAGAGAAATGGCAAAGGAGATGAGGAGGAACCACCGAGGTGAAGACGTCTATGATTTCGGTTAGCAATGATGATTTTTTTTTTTACAAAACAACGTTGTTTCATGTAAAAAAAATATTAAAAAAATTGCAGTGACCCTTTTGACATGAGAGTCATCGAGACCTAACCTGATTTCGGGAGTCAAAGAGATCAACATGCGTACAGGGTCTAACTGCTCCCCCCGACTCTCAAAGAAGAGGTCAAGGTTGACCCAAGGATAGAGGCGGAGCAGAATGTGAAAAGTATTTCATATTTTTATTTAATAATTATAAAATTAATTAAAAATATATTATAAATCTTTTGAATTATTATGTTTTGGAGAGAAATGAAAACTAGTTTGAAAAAGAAATCTAACTATCTAAGGCTAATTAAGATATTAAAGGAAATTAATAACCCCGCGTTACCAGATAAAACGGTTAATTTGCTGTAGTAATGTAAGAAAAATAATACGTGCTATCATCCATGTATTAGACAACAAGAGATGAGCGATAGCATATATGAACTTAATAATATTAAAAAAATCAGTATTTGAATAATTTAAATACTAAATATTAATAATGTCTAAACAGTTAATCTCATAATAATACCTAGGATGATCATGGTTAAAAAAAAGTTAGTCAATATTAAATAGTAAGAAAATAATACTTGAAACGAAAACCCAAAGAGAGTGGCTAGAAAAACAAATTGGTAGAGAAAAGTATAGATATTTAACTCAGTATACAAAATGCTATTGCTGCTACAGTACAATTCTATAGCTCAAAAAGCATATTAGAATCTTAATCTGTAGTGGTTAGCAGTTTGGGTAGGTTTTATTAAAGGATTATATTTATTTTATATTGTATAAGATAAATAAATTTTTTACACACACAAAGTGGAGGTGGTGAATCTCAAATTTATTTTTTTCTCTCCTCTTATATATGGATCTCACTTGTAATTTTATTTTTATAACACGAGATAATCATTTTCCTACAACATAAGATAATTTTTTATTAAATTATGTGTTCAATTTTCACTTATATCCAAAATAAGAATTTGAATTTCTTA